ATTCTATTCTATTCTATTCTATTCTATTCTATTCTATTCTATTCTATTCTGTTCTATTCTATTCTATTCAAACAGCTTTAGATATTTTATTTTTAACAACAAAACATGCATTCTTTGTCTCTACTTTAATGGCGTATTGTTTTTGAGGTGAGGTACAAACTATATCAGCATTTGGATCCATTTCTACACRTCCAAGCAGTGTGTTGGAGAACAAATGAACATTGTGTATTTAATCCCCATAGTTAAAACATTGTTAACATTACACAATAACACATTTGGCTTTGATATATTTATATGCAGCTTCCAGTTTTTTGTTACTCCAACAGACAGGGCCGGCCCCAGCCATTTTGGYGCCCTAGGCAAAATTCCAGGTGCATTTTTTTAAAATCTTGCTGCTAATTTACATATTTTAATATACCCAATTAAATAGTTTTGTCTTTGATATTTTTTTATCCCTGCCAACATCTGCTGACAGCTATGAGGAACACCTGTTTGTGTTAACGAGCTGCCGTGGAGTGAAGCAGTTCTGAGGGTGGTCCAGGGGTATACTCCCACAGAAAATTTAATAAAAAAAATTACTCAAAACTGTGTATACTATACATTAAATATACACTTTTACTAAATTATTTGGATTAATACAACATAAATTCAGTACTTTATGAAAACTAGAAATAACTAAGACTTTCTTCATCCTTTTTTTGTTTTGTTTTCTATTTACATGCTGAGCACCAGTAGTTAGAATTGACCGCATCATGTGAAACTTTAATAACAAAATATCTTCTGCTCCATAGCACCTCATGTAGTAACAAAGCAGGCGGAGAAACCCACAGAACAAGTTACCTTCATAAACCTGAGTAAATGTCCCATTCGTGGCGCACCCTAGACTGACAGCATGCCTGTACTGCCTTTGCCARTAGATTTGGTTTCCGTTTTTCTGTTGCAAATAATTTATTCTCACTGCAAACCGTAATAGTTTGCAATGGAAAGCATTCTGCACATTTTGTGTTTCTCACCTAAATAAAGYCAAGAGTTTCCCAAATATATAGTAAAGGTCGTTTTGTTGAAGCTGCAAAGCATTTAATCCTCTATATCYATAAGCGGGCTTTGATCTCTTTGTAATCCTTCATACTGTAAATTCTGGGCATCCACGYTGAAGGTGGCTCAAACATGRACGTYATTTGCAAATTYATGTGTTAGTAATGTTCGTGCAGATAATTCCTCTGGGGGGAAAAACAGTGGAAGGTCAGTAAACAGGGCTGAGCATTATAGGGAGCGGGGAAGTGGATTAGGTGGCCTGAGCTGAACTCGTGGCAATCCATATTTTTGTCTCGGTGACATTTTAGATAATTCATGCTGTGGAGACTGTCTGGGTGGATGAGCTGAAAACTGAAATCTGACTTATATCTGTTTGGAAAAAAACATGTTTGGGTCATGTTTGGAGTCTGGTTTGTTTCCTGTCAACACCCAGACTTTAGAGTTCAACAACAGGCAACAGCAGCTTTGCTGAAACCTGCTTACAAAAGCATAACGACCAACACAATGTTTGCTTCCCTGAAAGACAAATGCTTAAAGTTGATTTAAAACTTATGACATAGGTTATTCAAATTAAATTTGATAATAACAAATATTTCCTGTATCTGCTGTAATTAGGGTAACTAGCAGCCAAAACCAGCTGTTTGACATTAGGCTTTAGAATGAAAGCTACCTGCATTGTTTGGCATTCCTTAAACACCTTCATGCTATAAGACAACATGATGCATATCTCTTTGTATAACTCAACTCTACCATAAATCAAGGTTGTGGCTAATGAAGAACAGAAAGTGGGTTTGTGCATTTTGGACACACCTGAGAGAGGAGGTACTACCATTAAAGGTTTTTAAGGTTACAGGATTTTACTTTAAATAAAAATAAATAACTTTTAAATAGGCGGCGTAGTGGTTAGAAGAGTTACACTCTACAAAAGGGTTGAAGGATCACCTCCTGCGGCCTTTCTGTCAGAGTTGTAAGTACAAATACTTCTTTATTGTACTTAAGTGGAATTTTTGGGTATCTGTACTTTACTTGAGTAATTATTTTTCAGCCTACTTTTTACTTCTACTTCTTACATTTTCACACAATTATCTGTACTTTCTACTCCTAGCATTTTTTTAAAAGGCACAAAGTAGAAAATTGTTACTTTTATTTCATTTTTGCTTGTTTTCATTCCAGCTTGTT